GGTGAGCGGGGCTGAAAGGAGCTGTCCGAGGTGCTGAAAGTGCTGAGGGAAAGGGGCCGTCTCAGACTCCCAGGTGGTGAGCGGGGCCAAAAGGAGCTGTCCGAGGTGCTGAAGGTGCTGGGGAAAAGGGGCCATCTCAGGCCGCTGGGAGGTGAGCGGGGCTGAAAGGAGCTGTCCGAGGTGCTGAAAGTGCTGAGGGGAAAGGGGCCTTCTCAGGCTGCCAGGCGGTGAGCGGGGCCGAAAGGAGCTGTCCGAGGTGCTGAAGGTGCTGGGGAAAAGGGGCCATCTCAGGCCGCTGGGCGCCGAGCGGCTCTGAAATGAGCTGTCCGAGGTTCTGAATGTGCTGGGGAAAAGTGGCCTTCTCAGGCCTCCGGGCGGCATGCAGGGCTGAAAGGAGCTGTCCGAGGTGCTGAAAGTGCTGGGGAAAAGGGGCCGTCTCAGGCCGCTGGGCGCCGAGCGGCTCTGAAATGAGTTGTCTGAGGTGCTGAAAGTGCTGGGGAAAAGGGGCCTTCTCAGGCCTCTGGGCGGCATGCAGGGCTGAAAGGAGATGTCCGACATGCTGAAAGTGCTGGGGAAAAGGGGCCGTCTCAGGCCACTGGGTGGCGAGTGGGGCTTAAAGGAGCTGTCCGAAGTGCTGAAAGTGCAGGGGGAATGGGGCCGTCTCAGGCCACTGGGCAGTGAGCGGGCCTGAAAGGAGCTGTCCGAGGTGCTGAAAGTGCTGGGGAAAAGGGGCCGTCCCAGGCCGCTGGGCGGCGAGCGGTCCTGAAAGGAGCTGTTTGAGGTGCTGAAAGTGTTGAGGGAAAGGGGCCGTCTCAGGCCGCTGGGCGGTGAGCGGGGCCGAAAGGAGCTGTCCGAGGTGCTGAAAGTGCTGAGGAAAATGGGCCATCTCAGGCAGCTGGGCGGCGAGCGGGCCTGAAAGGAGCTGTCCGAGGTGCTGAAAGTGTTGGGGAAAAGGGGACGTCTCAGGCCGCTGGGCCGCGAGCGTGCCTGAAATGAGCTGTCCGAGGTTCTGAAAGTACTGGGGAAAAGGGGCCGTCTCAGGCCGCTGGGTGGCGAGCGGGGCTGAAAGGAGCTATCCGAAGTGCTGAAAGTGCTGGGGAAAAAGGGCCTACTCAGGCCGCTGGGCGGCGAGCGGTCCTGAAAGGAGCTGTTTGAGGTGCTGAAAGTGTTGAGGGAAAGGGGCCATCTCAGGCCGCTGGGCGGTGAGCGGGGCCGAAAGGATCTGTCCGAGGTGCTGAAAGTGCTGGGGGAAAGGGGCTGTCTCAGGCAGCTGGACGGCGAGCGGGCCTGAAAGGAGCTCTCCGAGGTGCTGAAAGTGTTGGGTAAAAGGAGCCGTCTCAGGCCGCTGGGCGGCTTGCAGGGATGAAAGGAGCTGTCCGACATGCTGAAAGTGCTCGGGAAAAAAGGGCCGTTAATGATGCGTGCTCACACACACTCCTGCAGCTCTTCGTTAGGCCTGCACACACGCACGCACGCACGCACGCAGAGACACACACACACACACACA